CTTGATTGCCCCTTCCAGAACCTCCCTGCCCCTTCTCCGACCCTCTGGCCCCCTTACTGTGCTGCTCAGAACAGCGTGTTGGGCTCCGAGTGGAGCCAGACACACTGCCGCGCTCCCCAGCGGAGCGCACAGCCCGGTCCCCGCCCCCGCAGAGTGCTGTGGAGCAGCGCGCTGGGCAATAGGGGGAGGAGCTCCAGACTGCCGGCGGCCCGATGCGAATGTCCGGCGATCCGCGAGTGCAGGGACAGGGAGGGAGAGAGAGAGAGGAGGGGAGTGATCTCAAGCTGCAGGAGGGGAGGAGAGGGGAAGCGGAGGAGGGGCTCTGGCTGCCGGAGACCTGTGCGAGTGGCACGATCCGGCCGGCTGCTCTGTCAGCCATGCGCGCTCTGCGTGGGGGGGAAATCCGGACATTTACAAATTCCCCCTGGACGCTATTTTTAACTCAGAAAAACCGGACATGTCCAGGAGAATCCGGACGAATGGTAACCCTACATTAACAGAATTACTTGTATGCAGGCACAACATTGCTGCACTTGTTGATGTTCACTGTTCATTCAAAGAGCAATAGAAGTATTTTGTGAATTGTTTGTGAAACTGATGCAGGGTAGATTATTGATGGATGAGTGAGGAAGAGTCAGCATTGTTTGGGTGATTTCATACATTTGCTTGCTAACTTTCAACAGGTTTTTTATTTAATGCTTTGGAAAATTTTGAAATATTATTTTTAGCAAGTTCCTGACTGGTAAAACAGACAAACAAAATTCATCTGATTTGAATGTTTTTTTGCCCAAATTAATCTCTGATGTAACAACTTACTTTCAGTGAAGTTATACTAAAAATAAGCTTGGTCCATGATCTGAGGCCTAGTTAGTAGTAGCTTAATCAATACAAAATCTCTTTATTTTCCAGTTGGACTTTATGATATCCCATGCTGAAAGGAAATGCAAGAAATAATGTATTAGATTGCAGATTTCCTATCCAATCTTGCAATTTCCCTCCTGTTAAGGATTTTCCTCACTAAGTATTTGCAAAAGATGTTCTTCTGCTGATATTAGCACTTTAGTTTCTAGACCCAGATTTCATCAGAGGTCAGAGTTTGGCTCTTCCTTTTGTCATATTCTCTACCTCCTGAATTTTTTTCAATTTTTATCAGATTTGAGCCAAAGTGATTCTGCTGTTTTTGATATCTGTATGTGTTTAAAATAAAATAAATAAAAAAATATTTCCATATGGTCAGATTAAAAAAAATTGTGCATGTATACAAAAGTCACCATTAAAATGTCAGCATATGCCAATAGTTGCCATACACATAACACAACTATGGTGACCTAGTAGTATAGTCTCTATAGTGTAGACATAATCTTAAACTGGTGCAAGGTGTGTGTGTTTGTGTATGTAGGCAAGGCCTTAGACCTCCTTACTCCCATATTCTGATGAGTAAATGATATCACCTCTGAATTTGTTCGCCCTGCCAATATGCCCAACATAAAATGTACAGTACTCTTTTTTTTTTTTGATTTACACAAAATGGTAATATGATAGTGACTGTCAATGCATTTTCTCTTGAAGCTCCCTGCACATGTTTATGATAAAATATCTCCATAATCTGCAAATAACCCATCATGTTTCCTCTAGGCAGAGAAGTTCTCAATTGTTTTGCCACTGGGCCTGAAATACCGAGGCTTAATTTTGGCTCCTCAGATCATAAACAGAGTAATAATTTGGAGAACGAATGCTGGTTACAGATGACTAAGATTAAATTTGCTGATAGAAAGGATTGAGAACTATATGTACCTTATTGTATGTACAAAATAAACAGCCCGTGGCCACACAAAAAGGCATAGAAATAAGCTCATTTATTTCAATTACTGTATCTCTCTCTGCCTTTGAACTATATAGTGTAATCCATTTCCTGAGATAATGGAGCAGAATTTATGTTTGTAAGTCTGTCAGTCTCTATGCCTGCTTACAGATAACTTGCATGTATAGGAAGTACATTAAGAGTTTGCAAGTTAAAAGGTTAAAATCAGAGGCCAATTTTGTAAAGCTTTGACACTGCAGTGTTTTTTGAGTTTTAAAGTGACAGACTGATATACAGAAGTAATCTCATCTGCATCTCAGAGGTGGCCATCCTTTGTAGGGACCAGTAGAGGCAGAATAAAGAGGTCAAGTTACCAAATATTCTAGGTTTTCTTTGCTCTTGAAAGATCACAAAAACTAGAATTAAGACATTTCATCAGTGGAGATTTTTATGCCTCTAACTCAAACACAGCAGCCCCCTGCAGTGAAGCGTCTTCCATTTCAGTCACATCACATCCCTGTGATAAGGACGCCAGTTGCTTACCTGAAGAAGCATCTTTAGGAAATATTTTATTGATTTCTCTGCTGGGCTTTTTATGTGATTTGGTAACTGCAGCAAGGAAGAGAGCCAGCATCACACAAATGCCAGTGCTGTGCGGGATCACTGTTTAGAACTTTTGCAATAATTAATCTAAAGCATAGAATTAAGACAGAAAGATCTATGAGAGCCTAAAATCATCACTTTTTTTTTTAAATGACAGGAAGTTGCAGAACCACTGTTAGACCTGAAGGAAGGAATGGACCAGATGGAGCATAATAAAACCTTGGGATTTATCCTTTCTACTTTACTAGCCATTGGGAACTTTCTAAATGGAACCAATGTAAGCTTTTGTCACCCTATCATTTTATTACTGACTATTATCACAGACTTTCCTCATCAGCTTCTCTACCTCATATCATAGTTATCACCTAGTATATGTCCAACACATACATGTAATTTAAAAAACAAAACCTACATTCTATGTTTCATTAATTCTATATTCCCCCTTCAAAATAACCTCAGAGAGATTTGGGACCAGGCACTGTTCGCACACCAATTTTACACCAGCGTAACCCCATTGACTTCAGTGGAGTTGTTCTTAATTCACATTACAAGAATCGCCTATTTGTTCTTTTCATTGCAAACGGAATGATCTAGGCATCTACTGACTCTTCAGAAGTATGTAAAATTGTGTCAGAAAGAATCATGTATTCTTCCTGCTCTGGGATTCTTTTTATTTAAAAAGAGTAATCTCTTCCCCTCCCCCCTCCCCCCTCCCCTCCCCCCACCCTCAACGTATTGTATATCTTAGTAAATGTTTTCTTTGAGGAGATCTGTGTGGACAAAATAAACTTACTTTCAAAAAAAAATTCCTTTCCTACACAGGCCAAAGCTTTTGAGTTAAGCTACCTCGAGAAGGTTCCGGAAGTCAAGGACACAGTGCATAAACAGTCACTCCTGCACCATGTCTGCACTATGGTGGTGGAAAAATTCCCAGACAGCACAGATCTTTATTCAGAAATTGGGGCTATCACTAGGTCAGCCAAGGTATGTCTGCAAACAAAAGAAGAAAAGCTCCTTGCATTTGCTACAGATGCCGGATCTTTATCAGTCTCCGTGAGAAATTAAAAGATTTTAAATGTAACATTAACGTTTTTTGCTTTTATTCTTTTTTTTTCTCCCCTCCTCACAATTCTTGTTATGAATGTGGATTTGTCATGTCACTTTTATGGAATTTTAAAGATACCAATACTCTTATCTTTCTGGCTGCATCTCGGTCTACCCCTCAGATTGCAGCCAGGGTACTACATCATCCATAAACCTGAAACAAATTCATTGCCTTTGTTGTGCTTTGATACAACTAGAAAAGAGTTATTCTATAAATCATTGAAGTCATAATTATTTATTACATGGATTTATTATAATATTATTACAGAAATTATGGACATATCTTTATGAGTTTGTCCTTAGCTGTTTTCAGGCTAGGATTTGATTTTATTGTTATCACCCGATGATTATTTTCTGGTATTGGGGAAGCCATTTTTTTTTAAGGTAAATGTGTTTATTTAATGATGTCTAGCAAAGTTATGAAGTTAAACTCCCAGGCTCGTCTTTTGAAGGTATCATACAGGTTTCCTTTGAGGATGAGGACTGAGAGATCAGATATAGGTGATCGCTTTGTGAAAAATGTTCACCCACATCTGATATGGTGGTTGTCTTTTATCATGTGTGTAAAAAATTGTCTGGTTTTACCCATATAGTTGTTTTGGGGGCATTTAGTGCACTCAATGGCGTACACCATATGTTGTGATAGGCATGTGTAGGACCCATGGATCTTGAAAGGTGTGTTGTGGGAGTTGTTGGTCATTGTAGCAGTGGAGATATGTGTATAGGTTTTGCATCTGTTGTTCTGGCAGGATCTGGTGCTGCTTTGAGTTGGTGTGTTCTGGTCTGTGGGGAGCTTGCTTCTGATGATGAGCTTTGACAGGGTGGGGGATTGTTTGAAGGGCAGAAGAGGGGTATGTCCACACCTGGAATACTGCATGCACTTCTGGTTGCCCTATTTCAAAAAATTTATATTAGAATTGGAAAAGGTACAGAGAAGGGCAACACAAATTATTACGGGTATGGGACAGCTTCCGTGTGAGGAGAGATTTAAAAAGACTGGACTATTCAGGTTGGAAAAGAGATGAGTAAGGTGGGATATTATAGAGATCTATAAAATCATGAATGATATGAATAAGAAAAATGTTGTTTACCCCTTCACATAACAGAAGAACCAAGGGGTCACCCAATGAAATTGTTAGGCAACAGGTTTAAAACAAATAAAAGGAAGTACTTCTTCACACAGTGTACAGTCAACCTGTGGAACTCGTTTCCAGGGGATGTTGTGAAGGCCAAAAGTATAAGTGGATTCAGAAAAATAATTCTATACAATCATGGAGGATAGGTCCATCAATGGATATTAGCCAACATATTCAGGGATGCAGCCGCATACTCTGGGTGTCCCTAGGCCTTTGACTGCCACATGCTGGGACTGGACAACACAGGATGGATCACTTGATGATTGTCTTGTTCTGTTCATGCCCTCTGAAGCATCTGGCATTGGCTACTGGACACTGGGCTAGATGGACCGTTGATCAGACCCAGAATGGCCATTCTTATTTTCTTTATGAGAGGAAAAATTTCTCCCTTTTCTTTTTTTGTTTTGTTTTGTTTTTTTTACTACCAGAGGCTTGGGATTAGGGAAGAGAAAGGAACAACGGTCCCCAAATTTTGTTCTTGTCGTAACATAATATCTCTGTGCTGTACTGACATACTTCTAGGGTAGAACTGCATTAGAAAGCCATATTTCATATGGAAAGAAGGTGAATTTAAGCTTTTTTTCTCACGTATTGCCAGCTTACAGTGTGATTCTACTCTGCAAAAGATATAATAATGGCACTTTCTTTCTCAACAAATTTGCTCTTTCTGTGTGTTTATGTGTGTCCTATCTACTGACTTCAGTGACAAAAATAACTCTTACTTCTCTTTACTCCTGTTAGCTCTGCAGAGCTAACACAAACATCAGCAGGGAGTGGGATTCTATTCCATTTTGTGCAACGTTAATTGCATTCATTACTAAATGCCAAAGAGTCAGGCCTGTGGAAACCATTAAAGGCACTGGAGCTGCACAGGTATAACCAAATGCCTAAATCTTCCAGTCCCCAATGTGGCACATAATTGTGACAAAGACCCAAAATTGGGACACAGAGATAATCTTTATGCAGGAAACATATAGTTGGGTGGGTTTCTTCGGTGTATTCCTTCCTTCCTTCCTTTCCTTCAATCTATAAGCTCAGCTTCATGCATCTTTAATTCGTTGTTCAACAATAAAAGTGAGGGGAGGCCAAATTGGTGCGAAGCAGAGGGAACTCTGGGTCTAAGAAGAGCGACATCCCTCATAGTGAGGGACATTTTGTCTTTGTCTTTATCTCTTTGTCACTGAGAATATAATTTGAAGTCATAGGGGGCTGTACAGTTGTCACTGAGGACAAATTTAGTCTCAGAGCTTTTATTACTGAAAGTGATATTCATGAGGGGAAAGAATCCAGCTTGATTCCAGGAGTCAAGTTGAATTTTCTGACCTGTAAGTTAGAGATAATCAACATGGGAATCCAGAATGCAATTATTACAGAATTGCTTTTCACAGGCATGGGAATAGCTCAGACCAGTGGTCCATCTAGTCTAGTATCTTGTGTCTGGCAGCAGTCAATATCAGTTCCTTCAAAGGAAGATGCAAGAAACTCAGCACTAGGCAATTACAGGATAACCTGCTTCCAGGTTATGTTTTCCTAATAATCCCCAATAAGTGGAGGTTGGTTTATTTCCTCAAACAGGAGATATTATATCCCTTCCAAAACTCTTGCTTTGCTTTTTAAAAAATAATTCCTATTAGAACCTTAGATATTTTTGTTGTGCATATAAATGTCCAATCTTCTTTTGCATCCGGCTATGTTCTTGGTCTGAGTGATGACAATGTAACAATGAGTTCCACAGTCTAATTGTGCATCTTGTAGAAAGTATTTCCTTTTATCAGTTTTGAATTTGCCAACTTTCTGTTCCATTCTTGGGACTTATTGACTGACCGAATTAAACAGCCCTAATTTCTTCAATCTTTCCTCTTCATTTTTCCATACTCTAATTATTTTCACATCTGTCTTTGAATCCTCTTTATATACTTTTTTAACATGGGATGAAAGAAACTTAAAACAGTATACCAGGTGAGGACATACCTTTGATTTATATAATGGCATTATAATATATTCCATATTACTTTCCATCCCTTTTGTTAAGCATCCTGACATCTTGTTTGCTTTTTTGAGTACTGCTGCACATTTTACAGTAGTCTTTATTGAGCTGTCCATAATGATGGCCAGGTATTTTCCTGCGTGGACACAGTTAATTTAGAACTCAGCAAGGTGTCTGGGTGGTTCAGATTATTCACTCAGCCGTGCATTACTTTGCATTCATCAACACTGAATTTTATCTGCCACAACGTTGCCTATTTACTTAGCTTGAATAGATCTCTCAAGTTCCTCACAATCTTCTGAAGTCCTGACTAATCAAAGTAAATTTCTGTCATCTGCAGATTTTGCCCTCTCAGTGCTCACCCTCTTTTCCATATATTAATCAATATATTAAACAACAAAAGTTCGAGTAAAGAACCTTGTGACATCATGCTGTTAATCTTGTGCCATGATGAAAATTGACTGTTTATTCCTCTGCTTTGTTTTATCCCTTTTGGCTAGTTTCTGATCAGTGACGGTACTTGGCTTCAGATCACATGACTTCTTAGTTTTGTGACTAGCTTCCTGTAAGGGACTTTCTCAGAGGCCTTTTGAAATTCTATATTAATTTTGTTTATTTGTTCTCATTTATCCACTGTTTTATTGGCACATTGAAAGCCTTTGAATAGATTAGTGAGACGTGGTTTTCTTTTGCAGAAGATGTGCTGTTTAGATTCTATCATATCGTAATCATCTAAATGTTTTATAGTTATGTTTTTAATATCATTTCAAGCAATTTACCAAGTACAGAAGTAAGGTTTGCTGCTCTATAATTCAGGGCTGCCCAGAGGATTCAGGGGGCCTGGGGCAAAGCGGGGGAGCGGACATACTCACCGGGTGGCGCGCTGAGTCTGCGGCGGCGGGTCCTTCAGTCGCTCCGCGTCTTCGGCAGCACTGAAGGTCCTGCCGCCAAAATGCCGCCGAAGACCCAGACCGCCGCCAGGTAAGTAAAAAGGCGCCTCTAGCCAGGAAAGGGATTCTCGGCCAGGGCCCCACTTGCCCCGCCCCCTCTGGGCGGCCCTGCTATAATTTCCTGGCTCAACCCTCACACCTTTTTTAAAATATGGTACATTTGCTACCCTCTAGTCCTCCAATATAGTATAGTGGCTGATTTTAATGAGAGATTGCCTAGTTTTGCAAGCAGCTCAATCCCCTCGTTCTTAAGTACCTTCAGAATTTTGGATATGCACCATCTGGGACTAGTGATTTGTTCCTTTTTGATGTATCAATTTGTTCCAACGCCTTTTCTTCAGACACCTCAGTCTCTTGAAATACCTCATCTTCATTACCAGAAGAGAGCAGGGCCTAGGGTAGGTATTTCCCTAACATCCCCTGTGGTGAAGACTGGTGCAGCGAAATCACTTAGTTTCTCAACAATGTCTTTGTCTTCCTTAATTTCTCCCTTTAATCCTGCTGGGTGATCCAGCAGACCCACAGATTCTCCGACAGGCTTTCTGCCTCTGATATACTTAAAGAATTTCTTGGTATTTATTTTTACACCTTTAGTTACTTTAGTTACTTTATTTACTTACTCTGTAGGTCTTCTAGTTTTCTTCTTACATATTGACTGTCATTGTTTATGCTCCTTTTTATTGGTTTCACTAGGATTAGATTTCCATTATATAAAGGATCTCTTTTTGGCTCAGATAACTTTCTTATGCTTCGCCAGTTAGCTGTACTGGTTTACTTCTTGTCTGCTTTGCACTTTCTGAGAGTTTC